AGAAAATGGGGGAAGGGTACCTGAGGGTGTGTGGGGTCGGGGACTGTGCCCTGACAGATGATGATCAGGCTGTGTGGGTAATGCCAGTCTGGGGCAAGTGTGTCATCAGTTGTGTGTAAGCAGTCCGGACTTAACCAGGCTGTACTCTGACACCCGGGCCCAGGGAATGCCAAAAGACATAGAAAAATGCCTAAACAGAGGAATCCATGAATTCACATGGAATTCAGATAGCCCTCCCCCAATCAGTATGGATCAACTGAACAAACCGAAAACCCAAGGTGGCAAAAATGTCCTGAACTTACATGACAGAAATGAAGTGATCCACCTCATCAAGCCCCAAAAAGTCCTAGACAGGTCACCCAACAGGCCCCCCACCTCAGATGTGAGTGCAGATTAGTAAAGCGTGGCAACTCAGTCTCAAGCAAATATGCGAAAGAGAACTGAGGGAAAAAGGAATTGAATGAACAGAAATTCCCATGTGTCAGGGCATACACCCTGACCTAGCCCATACCCACATCCACACCTGCACTTGCACCCACACCCATGCCCACACCTGGCCATTGCACTTCCTGCATGCTCCCTGTGCCAGACGCTCTGTGCAGCTGGATGCCCCAGGCCCCGGGTCTTGGGTCTCATGTAACTTCCAGATGTCTCCAGAAGTTTTCGATATATTGTGGCCACTGTGGGAAGATGAGAAGTTAACTTCCTTCTCATCTCTGACCCACAGTAGATTGTGCCCTGGATAGGGCTGGTTACACCTGAGGCTGTGGACCATAGGGGAGGGTCATGGGGACCCAGGAGTCATCCCCTGACACAATCCCCGCTACCCACAAACCAACAACACAGCAGAAATGCTTGCCATTCACCATGCCACCACCTTTGTACCCTTATCATCCAACCTCCACATCAAATCCAACTTGAAATGGTGCATAAACACCCTTTGCAGCAACCTTGAATCCCTCAAGAATTCAGACTACACATTCACAAAAAACAGATATATTACTAAACTGACCATAAGTGCACTGAGATCCAGACCTACCCCCACCTCATTTGAATGGCTAAAAGGCCATGCAGGGACCCTCAGAAACAAAGAGGCAGACTGCCTTGCTGCAATAGGAGTGCAACTGGACCCAGAACCCCTCCCTCCTGTAACCCCTCCACCCCCCCACATACTGAGTGGAGCCCACCTGCACTCACTAAACCAATCTACAGCAACAAGACCAATCAGTGTCAGGGATGCATCCGGGGTAGAGGGGGTCCAGGGTGCGAAGCAGGCATGCGTACTGGCAGGCCCGAGGTGGGGCAGCAGTCCCTGGCCACTCAGACTGAAGTGGAAAAGGTGAATTGTTATTAAAGGGGGAAAACTATACTACTTACCTGAAGTGGAAAAGGTGAGAAGAAGGTTACTTCTTCAGTTCCCACTTCAGGTACATTTATGTACATGTGGCTTGGGTCACATGACAGGTGCCACATCATCCTCAGAGACAGCTGCAGCCATCTGGGTGTCCCATGGGGGATCCTGAGAGCATCTGCTGCAGGCGCTGTAAGCAGGCTAGGGATCTAACCCAGCAGGCAAACAGGAAAGGATGGGGACTGGATTGGTATCCAACAGGTCAGGGAAAGGGGGTAATGGTAATATGGTATGGTCCGGTGTGGTACAGTGCATGGTGTACTCCAATCAATCTCTCACCCCACCTCTCTGGGTGACACTAAGGTGAGGACTGATCCAGAGGTCTTCTTAGTTGTCTTCTGTGTCGTACTACTCCCTACTAGCTTGGGAGGGGCAAACTCAGTGGTTTCTAATCCAAAGGAAAAAGTAGATACATCCTCATGTACAGGTATATATGAGAAATGATCTGGAAAAAATGATGAAAAATATCCAATGTGCTTAGGTGGACCATATGGGCAACAATCAATATTGGAAAATGGGAGGGAAAACAATAATCAAGAAAACAATAAAGCAATAAATGGTATCCAACCAAAAATACCCAACTCTATCCATCACCAATGAACTCCCGCTAATCATGGATCCTAATACTCCTAAATGACGTGTTTCCAATGGTACCAATATCATCCAAATCGGTGCAGTGGTTGCTGAGATAAGTGAAATCCAATCTGAGTGTGGCCATGCTGCTGGGTGGACATGGGAATTTGGTCTGTGGGGACTGGGAATGTGTCTGGAAAAATAGGAAAGAATCATGGAAGGGTAGGGATAGTATATGAGGACATGTGTGATGTGTTTCGTGAAGTGGGGATGTGCTGGGATGGGGAAATTGTGATATTCAGTTTGTTTGTGCAGTACCAGCTGTGCCCACCTACAGTGCACATGCTGGGCACAGTGGGAAGTCATCTGAGGTGCCTGGGCCAGACAGGTCAACAGTACATTGATACAAGGGAAAGTGGTCCATGTAAATAGAAGGAATAAACAGGAAGAGAGTGATGGGAAGAATGAAACAAAGGAAAGGGAAGAAAGAGAGAAAAGGGAGAAAGGAGGAGGGAGAGGGATGGGTAGCAGGGCAGCAGGTGAGGTGGGGCCGGGTGGACCTGGATGGACCCCGGTTAGGTGGGTGTGCCCTGACACTGAGTCCCTCCTTCTGCAAAGGGGGCTTCCCACCCTCTGAGTCCATGCTTGCAGAGTCCATGCTCCTCCTACAAGCCCACTCCACCCACAAGTCTTGTTTGAAGTTTGCTGTGAGTGTCAGTCCATAAATAAGGGATCTCCCCCAGATGTCAAGCTCAGGGCACAGCACTCCCCTTGAGTTGCTGAGGCCGCGATCCCACTCTGCTAACCTTCAACAGTGCTTCCAGACACACTGCTAATTTTCACCCACACATCCATGTGTGCATGCTCCAACAGACCTCTGCCAACACCTCCAACCCCGACTCAGACAGAAACCTGCCCATCTTCTGACAGGTTGTTACTTGCTGAAGTGGTCATTCGCTGTGAGAGTGGCTTGACCATCAAGTAGGTAGATGTCATTGATGTGAAGCAAGTGAAGTAATTTGTGGCAATGTGTGAGGAAGGGATGGGTTTCAGGGTGGTGATGCATGCTGTGCACGCTATCTTTATTCATTGATTATTACTTTTTATTCCTCAATGTAAACAATGTATATAAAATGTGGGGAAGGGTGAAACAGGTTTTCACTCTTCCCCTCCCCTGTTAGAAATAAAGCTCTATACTGCCTACTTCCTGACAGCTTGAGGATAGCAGGAGTCAACACTAAGGTCATGTAAGGGATGGACAGGGACTGGATCTTGTGCACTTTGCACGCATTTCTTATTCTTTATTATTTCTCATAATAAACAATGTAAAACACCTGAATGTACATATATAGCATCTGGGGTCAGGAAAAGGAGCTTAGCTCTTCTCCTCCCCCCTGTCGAATACTAGCTCCATACAGTCTATGTTCTCGACAGCCTGAGGATTGAGGAGTCACCAAGGCCAGCACCCCAACTGGCCTTACAGGTCGGAACCACAACTGACCTTTCACAATGGATCATGGAACATGTGTTCACCTGAGTATGGGGGACTCCCATATGGCTTGGAAGTACAGGGTATGGAAATGTGAGTGTACAGTTGCTGCAGCTGTGGTTGGCAGTGAAGGGGAAGTGTGTCCATGCATTTGTGAACAGGGATGTTTACAGCATGGCTGAGTACAAGCTGAGTATTTACAATTTGATTTTTGCATTGAGCATTGGAACTGTTGGAATATGGGATGGAGTAACCTCCCTGGCATAACAGGCGAGTAGTGTATGGATGCATGCTAGAGGTCTTGGGTTCGATACCAGGCTTGTCCATTTTATGTCATTTGTCCAGTCACCTGGTTTATATCATTTGGATATCATGGAGTAAGTCCAGGAAGGCAACATGCAATTTCTTCAGGAACAGACTAACAAAGTGTTGGAACAGATTATTAAAGTGTTGGAATGGATCAATAAGGCATTGAAATGCATTGAGAGCTCTTAAGTAATGCATTAAAACAAAATTCCGTGTTTTCCGGCACATGCCATTGAGAGGTGTAATTTAATTGTAACAGGTTACAACACTTCCACAGTGTTTTCCAACATGTGCTCATCTCTATTAGAATTAGTCTATGTCACATTAGACTCTGACTCTGACAAGAGATCTAATTGTAAATACCTATGTCGCATTAGACTGCAACAAGAGTTATACCAGACTCCTTCCCAGTTGCTCACATGATTTCTCCAAGGTTTAGCCACAACTTACGTTGCCTCCAAAATCTGTCAAGCAACTGGTACAACTTGCAACATGTGATGTTCCCATGCTAAGTTGTAATGAGTTGTACATAGGTTGTGGAATATAATTTTTAGTGTTTACACATGCAGTCATTGCACCCAACCCAACCCATGGAGACTAAGGGAGCACATCCAAGGTTGTGAAGTCAATATCTGGGTGTGCACAAAGGTTAACAGTTTATATATTACTTGGTTACCAGTCACTTGTTTGTGCCCAGTGGCATGAGTGGTACAGCATTAGCTGAGGCTATGTGGTTTTTTTAAGTGGCACATGTTCAATTCTCACTTAGAAAAACTTTTTTTTTTCATACCCTCCACTCCTTAGTGTACAGAAAACAACCATCTAACATATAAATAATCATGGTCGGTCTTTTACGAGATCTGATTGGCTTGGTTTACCCTGAAGCCAGGTTTTGAACCATTTTGATTGGCTGCTCTATCTTACCTAATTGGTGCTGAGGGTTCTAACTTGCTTGCATCTCTGTTTCTTCTCCCCCTTAGGCCTTTTATACGCCCCAGTGTACCTTACATCATCCTATCAGCATCATTGATACCATCACTCCATTGACAACTTCATCTCAACTTTGACTGGTGATGTTCAGTGCATCACTGGTTAACTGGTGAATTGGCTCCCTGGCACATTGTAGCCATATTCCACCTCATTCGCTGGCTTTATCATGGTCTTAGACAGGTTTCTGTTGTAATGACATCGCTCCGGAAATGGTGCTTCAGATCAGACACAATGTGGCTTGCATACCACACTTGGCCGACACTTCTGCAGGCATCTCAGCTCCAGTCTTCATCTGCCAATCATTTCCATGTTTCAATAGGCACTTTCTGGCCATTTAGAGTGCTTGACAACATTCAGATTGCCTTCATTCACAGCACATTGGTGGCATTCTTGCCCCACTGTGGACTTTGACCTCTTGACATCGCTCTGATGTCATGTTGAAAGTCAACAGCTACAGGAAATCCAGCGACAGCATGAGAAATCCCACACTCACCTCACATCGGTGGCATCTACCACTCTCACTGTGAGCAACCACTTTGGCAAGTGACACACCCCCTCACCATCTTCATCTGTCATTTTAACCCAGGTGACAACTAACCACTTTCTGGCTATATCTGACAAACACACTTCGATGTCATCAACGACAGAGCCTTAATTGGGTCTCCTTATGTATATGTACCAACTCATCAGTTTGCATGCTGTGTCACCCCTTTGTCCGACTCTTCACTTTCACCAATGCTGCCCGACTTCTCGCTGGGCTTTGACTTCATGCTCTCATTGGTTGATTTCATGACTTTCAGATTCTCTGGCAACTTTCACATTGTCTCTGCTTGCCTCACTCAGGCAGTATCTATGTACACAAGAATCACTCATCTTCAGTGCTGCAGATTTGACTTGTGAGCAAGAGACTGCACAGCAATGTCCATTGGACATGCAGATGGCCTTAAACCCTGATGTGTACCTCAACAACAACTGGGATGGAGCAAAAGGGAGAAGGCAGTGCCCTGTTCCCAGTATGTATCTGAGTTTCATTTCCGTGTTTTTAGATACAGTCTCACTCTGAGGGAATTCCATCACCCTTGCCTTTTCCCCCTGGCTTATTCCTTCCGAGATAGCAGGAGTCAAAGACAACGATTGAAGTTTTTGAGTCTACACTGTCTGCCAAAGTTGTTTCTTTGATTTGAATTGGTGTATAGTACTGTGTTGTAATACCCGCATTTTAATTTTCGGTTGCACTCATCAGGTTTGCAACCAGCCAAAGGCAGTTCAACTAGTTTCACACAATTATTCCATGGGAGGGCCCAAAAAAAGTTTTCCTAAGTGAGAATCAAACATGTGCCACTTAAAAAAACTGCACAGCCTCAGCTAACACTGTACCACTTATACCACCAGGCACAAACAAGTGACTGGTAACCAAGTAATATATAAACTGTTAACCTTCATGCACACCCAGATATTGACTTCACAACCTTGGATGTGCTCCCTTAGTCTCCATGGGTTGGGTTGGGTGCAGTGACCACATGCACAAACACTAAAAATTATATTCCGCAACCTATGTACAACTCATTACAACTTAGCATAGGAACATCATGTGTTGCAAGTTGTACCAGTTGCTCGACAGATTTTGGAGGCAATGTAAGTTGCAGCTAAACCTCAGAGAAATCATGTGAGCGACTGGGAAGGAGTCTGGAGTTATACATGAATTATAAAGAAGATGATATAGAGATCGTTCTCACCTCAGACTCTGACAAAAGATCTGAGGGAGAAGAGTCTAAGAAATCCCTTCTTATATATGCAACATTCCTGAGTGGCAACATCATTGTACAAAGGGAGTTTTAAGTTGAATAAGAAGGGCAAAACACCCCCAACACCTCAAAGCGCCCCAGAATAACTGCTATCAATAACTGCTACACAACTTCCCGATGTAAACCAAGTTGGTATTCTAATAATCTCAGAGGGGTTTTGTAGGTTTTCTACCATCTAATCAGGGTTGACTGAGGTCGTAGCGGGAGACGGCCCAGGAGGCCCAGAATGTATTGCCAGCAAGCAAGCGGCGCAAGACATGTGTGATCCGGCTACAAGTACAAAGAAGTTCCAGACAAAACAACAGAAATACACAAGAAAGTAGAACAATGGATCATAGTAATACATGCAAACTCTGGAACAGTTAGAAACCAGAAAAAGATATGGAAACAGATACACGCAAGATCAGAAACGAAGTAATCGGTGGTGAAAGGTGAGGGGGTGGGAGAGGCGAAAACTAGTGTGAGACTGCAGCAGTGGATATGCACGAGTTGAGGGGGGAAGCGCAGCAAGGGAAACAGGGAGGCAGCAGCAGCAAAATCATGAGAGTGAGTTTGAAAGAACAGCAGCAAGTTGGCCTTGTACTCACCACGAGAGTCGTGAGAGATTCAGGTGATAAGGAAGGAAAAAGGGGGCACTGTGAAAGCCCTTTTTATAAGCATGGCCTGAATCATCATGAGCACTCTCATGCATCAGCAAAAGTCCATTATGCTCCGGAGCATCAAGAGTGGCTGGAGCATGTGGGAGACAAAACAGCAGATTGGGCACTCCTGGAGCCAATAGTGTTCTCCTGGGAGGGGGTTCAGGAGCAGCTGGGAGTGGTGAGGAGTATGTAATGTGCCAGGAGCAGTGGGAGGAAAATTTTGGTCTCTAAAAAGTTGAAAAAAAAATTTTCAGGAAAAAATCAAAAAAAAAATCAGGAACTATAGTGCCTTTAAAGTGCTTTCAGGACATATAATTATTTGCAAAATTGAGGAAGAAATGATGGAGAAAAATGGAAAATACTTTTGGAGACCCAAGAAATAATGAGAACTGAATTGATGGGAAAGTCTGAAAATTGAATAGGAAAGTGAGGGGAAGCCTTGTAAGCATTGTTATTTTCTGCTGTTCTGATTTTTCCTGATTGTTCTTGGTCTCACTCCCAGCTGCTCCTGGACCCTCCCAGGACCTTTCAGGAGCTTCCAGGAGTATTGAGGAGCAGCTGGGAATGAGACCAAGAAGAATCGGGAAAAATCAGAACAGCAGAAAATAACAATGCTACAAGGCTTCCCCTCACTTTCCTATTCAATTTTCAGACTTTCCCATCAATTCAGTTCTTGGGTCTCCAAAAGTATTTTCCATTAGCTGCTCCTGGACCCTCCCAGGAGCTTCCAGGAGTATCCAGGAGTATCCAGTAGTAGCTGGGAGTGAGACCAAGAACAATCAGGAAAAATTAGAACAGCAGAAAATAACAATGCTACAAGGCTTCCCCTCACTTCCCTATTCAATTTTCAGACTTTCCCATCAATTCAGTTCTCATTATTTCTCGGGTCTCCGAAAGTATTTTCCATTTTTCTCCATCATTTCTTCCTCAATTTTGCAAATAATTATATATCCTGAAAGCACTTCAAAGGCACTACAGTTCCTGAATTTTTTTGATTTTTTCCCTAATTATTTTTTTCAACTTTTTAGAAGTCCCTATTTTTCAAATTTTCCTCATTTCCCTCTATATCCCCCCCTCATTCCCCCTCATTCCCCCCCTCATTCCCCCCCTCATTCCCCCCCCTCATTCTCCCCCTCATTTCCCCCTCATTTCCCCCCCTCATTCTCCCCCATTTTCCCCTCCCCCATATTCTGCCAGCCTGAAAGTGATTAAGTTGCCAGATTAATCATATATCAGGCCATAAATTTTGATTGTGTATTGGTGAGTCTCAGTGTCCTTGATATATAGTATAGTGTTTGATCTAAATGTTAAGCAGTGTCTTGTTGTGTTAGTCTTGTGGTAGGAGGTATTCATGGGGGATCTTCCCTCTTTTTTTCCTTTTCATTTTCAAATGCTCCAGGAGCTCCCAGAAGCTTCTCACCCCTATACACTTTGAAGCATTTAAATTGTATTTACTGGATATGTTTGTGCACAAAGCAATGCTCCAGGCCCTCCTGGGAGTGCCCTGGAGTACCTAGCCAACTCCAGAGGAAATGGGCTGTTCCTGGACCGGCCAATCTCCTCCTGATTCTCCCAGTGCTCTCGATACTCCAGAGCACTCAGGAGCATAACAATTTTTTGTTGATGTGATGAGTGAAGTTCAGTACGTACCTCTGCTGGTGTGGTCCGCTTCACACATCTGCGCCAGAAAACCCAGCGTACGACTGAGGCACAGTCCCTGGGTCCATCAAATGGTCAGGTCGCACAGCAACTCGTGAAAGCGGCAAAGGGGCAAGTGCAGTGCTGAGACAGGCGCATCGGGGTGATCGAGCCAGGGGAAGTCATAGCATTGGCTGGGCCGAGTCCAATCGTTGCCCCGTGATTAGTCTCGTGAAATGAAAACATTAAACAACAAGTTATCCACCATTTCCCCCATATCTCCACCGAATTTCCAACAAACTCATAGTCACTGTGTTCAGAGCCAAATTATCCCATGTACTATTCTGCACTGTAATAATGCACAAGCTGTGTTATCCTGTGCTATTCCCTGAAAAATCCCAAGCCTCTGAGCAGGCACCGGTTTAACTTACAAGATGTGCAAAATCATGCCTGGGTATTTGCCAGGAATATAGCAGGGCTGAGCACGTGCCTGCACTATCCTCTGTCCTATTCCTTGTTTCTGCAAAATCCGTGTTCTATCCTGCATCAAGCACTAGCTCAGGCCTATTCACTATTAATATTTGTTTTAATGATGTTTGGTTTTGTGGTGAAAGTCTTACTCCGAAGGTCTTTCTTGTCCGCGTCCACAGCTGATGCTTGCTCCGGATTGATGAGGATAATCGACTCCATCTCATCCTTACTTGCACCAACCTTACCCTCTAACCCTTCATGCCTCCTGGTGGCTTTCTAGCACAGAGAACCTTAATCAATATTACCAATCATCAGGCAATGCACTGCTCTCAATCGCACCATAATTGCACTTCGCGCTTGCATATTTTTTTAGGAATTGTCGAACTGTGATCTGGTCCACTTGGCTTTGAGCGGTGAAGTACTGCTCCGCGGCGTCACGGACGTTGTTCTCATCAATCATTCCTTTTTTGATGTGGATCTTAATTGTTTGTGCCAGGAATCAGCGGTTTTGCAAAGGTGTGTCCACTTTCATGTACCGGTGTTCCTAAGCTAATTCTCACCACCTCACCGCCTCACTAACCACTTATTGGCGCCTTGAACCCCAACCACCAGTTTGGGGTAAGGGCAGGCTCTCCATCTGCTCTGAGTCGCGTTGGAGCATCATCTGGCAAAGGCGATGGTAGAGGGTTTTCACATCAATACTTTCTATGTCGAGTCCTGGGCATTCAAGGCTAGATCAGTAAGCCTGACCCACATTACATGTTATGGGGCATGCGACTCACACATGCATTGGCAGGCCACTTGTTCTTTGTCTTACCTCTCACACCGTTTCTAGCCGTTCAGGTGAGTGTCCGCGGTACTATTAGCGGATTTTAGCTGCACTTATTGAGTCATCTGCCCTATGGGAAGACTATCGCTACTTTGGCCAGTGGAGTAGTGTTCCATCGCTTCAAGTCTGATGTTGTGGGCATGCTGAGAATGCTGGTTCTGATTGCGTTACCGTGGAGATCTAGCTGAGGACCAGATGGAGTTTTGCGCATCAGCGAGGTGGACAGCATATCGCCTTCAGGACCTTGAAGTCCATTGGGTGTATTTATTGTTCTTACAGCACTACTATCTGAATTTGCTCTAAAAGTATGAAGCACAAAGAGGATGCGGAAAATGAGTGGAAAATGAGCAGTACCGAATATTGTCGGATTTAAGAGTCGTTTGTATGTGCGTGCAACGGACCTCTATTCCGTGTGCAATATTCTGTGAAATATTCAGTAACGGATACTGCCAGGACCTAGCTGGTGCCCCGCAAATCCGGTCAGCGAAATCCCTGTGCTATTCTCTGCCCCAGTGTGCGGGAGTTCTGAACTATTCCTGACATATCCTGCGATCATTCTAGTGTGCAATATAACAGAGAATATCACAGATATCCCTGTACTATTCGGCTACGGATAATCTTTCTCTAAACGCAGTGAGTGTGTTAGGGGTTTCCGAGCCATTCACCAAGCCCTTGCCACGTGCGTGGGTTGCACCAATTTGTCAAGCTATTCTCTAGTCCGGACTCCACCACAAATGGCGAACTTTTCATTGCATGTCGAGTCTTCCGGCCATCTTCCACCTAGCATGTCATTCTCCAGCTGAATTGTAAAGGTCTGTCCATAGCCAACCGTTGATTAGCACAATTCCTGTAATCCAGATCGCAGGGCGATGTTACATGAAACGAATTGTACGGTGTCTAGACGCAACCACAGATCGGGACAGTAAAGACCGAAAACAACAAATGTTAGAGCCCACATCACGAGAAAGAATAAGATATTCTATCGGGGTGCCCAACGTGGCAATTCCGACCCAATCATGGGCCAAAGTGACCATGCGGAGCTAGGACATAATAGGCAAGACATTAGTGGCTAGGCGAATATAGGATGATGGGAGATATGGTCCCTGTTACTATGTTGGTACTTTGGGCAGTACTGGTGATGTGACGTCAACCAGCCGCATAAATAACATAAAATGAACGCGTTTGCAAAGTCTGGGCATCCAGTCCTATTCATTACACTGCGGCCTACATCGGCTCAGCCACGCGAATTGAGATGTCGGGTTGTGTCTATCGAGGGGACTCAGTCGCACTGTGAGAGTTGGTAGTGCTACTTGCCCCCTCGGAGGGAGTGTGATGTCACAGCCCACTAGCACTCTCCCTGCGCGCACGCGGCCGTGACGACGACGTGGATGGTGATAACTTGGATGATGACCTCTCGCCATTCCTCTCCTTATCGGGGGCACTTGCGGGCAGCGGGCCAGGATGGTTCTCGTCGAGATAAAGTCGATTCTGTTCGATATACTCGATCACACTGGCCGGCAGTAGGTACTGGATACTCATTCCACGGCGTAGGAAGAGGCGGATTTTGGTGGAGGAAACATCGTTCTGAATCATCTGGCGAATCACATAGATGTTGTCATGCCATGCGCTCAGAGATTCGAGAGCTTCGTCGACGTCGGAACCAGCTCGTTCAATGATGAAACACCCATAGCGTCCAAGAATATGTTCAAGCTGGAGTCGAAGAAAACGTGGTTAGCATGATTTCTATAACGAGAGAAACGCCGCGCGCAGGGGTGGGAAATACACACGTCTGCAGGTGACCAGACGCCGGGCTCGGACATTGTGTGAATTAGGTCGGACCCTGCGAGCAGCATGACTCGAACTTGATGTTTCACTCCTGAACATTGGGGACAAAGGAGATGCTCAGTAGCGTGGATCAAAAGCAGAAAAATTCAGCGCACCCTCCATGTCATCCACTCCCCCCCTTACTGTGTTAATTTCATGGTCAAAGTGGTCAAGCACAAGAGCTGTGCGTTGGTACTCCGTTTGCAGCGCTTCCCAATCGTCCACCATCAACCACCTGCTGGTCTGGTCGCAAGCGAGTCTACACATCTCGACTCTATTATGACCGGGAAGATGTCCCGGCGGGAGGAACATTAACAATGAGCCAATAATGGCAATCGTTGGGATAAACCCACCGTCGGGAAGCATTGAGCAGACCAGGCTTCTTGTAGCCGTCCCCGACAGGCGACATGTAACCACCAACGACCTCAAAATCGGTCTCCTGACGTACATAATCTTGCGCCATTTCGAACATTCGCATGTGTGCATAAGTGATAGGGGAGAAGGAGCCACAAGCTACAAGAACAACAGGAGTCTTATCGGGATCACTAAGTCGCTTGAGTCTGTGCGTGAAGAATGTGTAGTTGCTCATTTCTGCGTCGCCAGACATCGCTGACAGGGTGATCGGTGAAGGAACAGGGTCGATTTGCGAAATGGATCCAGATCTGGAAGTTGCCGGGTCACATCACCTGACGGCTCCCGTGATAAAACAATTGTATTGATGCCTTTTACCTTACTGCTCACGATCATCTCATGCCTCTGATTCGTCCCAGAAAAGAGTCGACTGGTACCAAAGAGGCCGAGGTAAGCATGTGAACGATCGTGGGATCCCGATTCCCATTCTTCAGCTGACCACCACTCATGTGCTTTCTGTCCACGAAACCACAGCCAAAGCTGCCCACTACGCATGCATCTCTACTCAGCAGTGTCGTCGACGCCTACACTAATCTCACGAGGGATCAGCTCGTCTTATTTCTGTCGATAAGGCACCTGCCTGTCGATGGCTCCTCACTTGATTTAGCTAAGAGGCTGGCTGAGCATGATCTAGAAAGCTACTCTACGTCTCCTGTTGTTCAGTCCTTCCCGGGCCCTCCAGAAGTTGCTCCAGAACACCCTCCGCCACCGCCCATAGCCAAGCCATCCAAGTTGCCTACGCTCCCTGCTGAACTCCTTGCGGACATCATGGACTGTATGGGTGATTGGGAACTAGCCAAAGCTGTGGGAACGGTCACATCCCTCAAAGCACCAAAAGAATGGGATCGAGCTTCCTCTGCAGATCTTTCGGCCCTAGTTGGGAGTACCAAATTTGACTTCTCGGCCCTAACCGCGACGGGGGCCAACGCGATCGTCAGACTTTGCTACACCCATATCCTCGATCTTTTGAAGAGTCACGACCCCACCTCGTTCGATCGGCTCTACGGCGGTATTCACTCACGACTCATCCCTTTCCGTGCTTCGTGCTCCGGTCGGACGGAAGTCCTCACATGGTGGAAGGAGCAGCATGAAATACCTAAAGACTACGGAGACGATTGTATTGATGAAGCCTGCCGCCATGGGCAGATCGAAGTTCTCGAGTGGTGGAAACGCCATTCAAGTACACTTCCGCTGCAGTATACTGAGGCGGCGCTGGAGAATGCCAGCGCACGAGGCCACATCCATGTGCTGGAATGGTGGAAGCAGTCAGGGTTGTCACTTAAAGTTGGTCGTGTCATGGACTTAGCAAGCAAGGCTGGTCAGGTGGAGGTATTGGATTGGTGGCTCCATTCAGGTATCGAAGTCAATTATGATAATGGAACCCTCGAGCACGCCAGTCGGAACGGACGCCTTAATGTTTTAACTTGGTGGCTGCATTCTGGGTATCAAATGATGGTGCGTTAGGGCTTTAGTTTTCATAAGAATTTTGACTTCTCCTGAAACTTTTTACTTAGTACAATGAAGACGTGTTGATCGGTGCGACACGCCACAATCGGCCGGAGGTCCTCCAGTGGTGGTATGATAGCGGCCTTCCTATTCATTACCGCATATGTGATATCGAGGAGGCTGTCGAGGATGCCATCCGACAAGGCTCCGGGGCGAAGGAGTGGTGGATGAAGCTAGGAGTGGATTTCAATGCGAATAACATTGAATGGGTACAACTTAAGTTATTGCGGTGAGGTATCCTTCTCGTGCAGGTCAGAGCATCGGGTCTGATGAACCTTAGTTATCAATAACTTCATCGTGCAGCCTTACATCCTCGACGTTAGATGAAAGTCTACCCGTGCGAGTTTAGATGCCTTATTTGCTTCTTTCACGTCTGAACTATTGTCTTCTCATATCCTTGTGTCTGTTTCTTTTCAATCCTCCACGACTCACTATACCCATCATTGCATGCATTCACCCATCCTTGTGCTACGATTTATGTGTACTAGCCATTAGATCCCCCGTTTCTGTCCGGCTTTTTTCCTCGCACTCCACATCGATTTCCGTCTTGCAGGAGAATCGGTACGGGTTAAAACACACGCGTGTTCCCTCAGGGATTAAACGTCTGTATTTGATTGCGCGCTACGACATTTAGGATTCCATCCCTTCCGTCTCTGGGGCCGGTCCACCCCCGCCCTCGGCACGATCCTTGTCCTGTCGACGAGCCTGTACAATATCATCTACTCGGAGCAATACGCGGGCAGCCTAATCAGAGGTAACGGGGACTCAGTAAGTTTTACATCCCAAAGCAAGAAAATATCAACCTCGATGGCGGTTTTAAGGGTCTGGATCTGAGTAACCGGCACAAATTGATTATTTGTTTTCGAACAAAGAAAGTATACCAACCTTAACACTAGCAGATTCAAGGAGTCCATACTTTTTCATGTCAACAAGTTTGCCTGTATTACCATCGATACCCCACATGTGCCCCCAACGGCCTGCTTTGCCTGTTCGAATAGAAAGTGCCGCTCATGTGAATAATGACAACGCCAATGAGAGAAAGCTTCGCATACTCTTAACTCAGTCAACGCCCGGATGGCATTACCGCCCGCATTCTGTATCAGTGTTCGTGGGATAACTTCCATAGCGTCCGCTATTGCTCTCACGCCCCAAGCCTCGACGCCTTCGATTGTCCGTGCTTTCGCTGTCAACCCTACACTCACTGCCATCTCGGTGGCGCCTCCTCCAGGAGCAAGACGAGGATTGAAGAAAACGTTACGTGCGACGGACATAGCGTCCGCGAGATTTCTGTCCACTTCATTGAGGATATCTTTCGAAGGGCCACGGAGGAGAATGGTACATGCGCGAGGGGCAGAGCACTCGGTGATGAATGAGAAGTACCTGGTATCGGGATATCAATGAATCGGACGTGCATTTCCGCGACACCGCTTACTCATCACCCATTTTGTCTACATAGAAGAGCCCACAACCTGTCCCGACATCTGAATCACGGAGATCCTCAACGCGATTCACGATAGTGCCTCCAACAGCTCGAGCGATACGGTTGTTGTCGGATTTGCGGACCCGACGAAGGACAGACACGCTAGCTCTCGAGAGGTAATGCTGCGCAATGTCTGCGATGGGTCAGAGTGTGGAACAAGCATGCAAGGACTAGCTGAAGAATTTACCTGACACGCCCTTTTCGGTAATGACGAGATCGGGCTTAAAGGAGATCAGGGTTTGGCATAGTTGCTGCACCTGCTCCTCCTCGATCTCTTGTGCTCGGGCCCAGTCCTCCTCCTTCGACAATTCCATGCTGGTCTGACTTTCGCCTTTCTTGTACTCAAGAGGACAATCCAGAAGTATGATGCGAGGATTAACTATTCGTCTTCGCATACTTGGATGCGTGACGTCCTTGTTGAGCATTACGCCACGGATAACTCTGCTTTCTTCGATTTCGCCTCCTGGAACCTTCTCAACACGAGCATATCGCTTTATGTCAACCGTTTTTATCCCATCATCGTCGCGCATGACTGTCCGTACAGCCTGCAAAGCAAGATTGCACATAAGGGAAGACCACCTTGCGACGAACTTCGTTCCAACTGAAGTCTTGATCAGATTAAGCATCTCTGCGTCGCTGGATGTGTCGATAGGGACCGAAACGCGGGTAATAATGTCTAGCCCTTCTTTGAGTGCTTTGTTAAAGGCAGATATGATGACTACGGGATGCATATTCCTTTCGAGAAGAGGAAGAGCCTGAGCGAGAATTTCTCCTGCCAGAATGATAACGCTTGTTGTGCCATCTCCAACTTCTTCATCCTGCGTCCGGCTCAGATCGATCATATTCTTGGCGGCAGGATGTGCAACGTCAATCTCACGGAGTATCGCGTTCCCGTCATTGGTAAGACTGAACACATTGGTAAGGAGTGGTTGTTCAGCTCTGGCAAAGTCAAACCCACAGAATGCCACCCATAGGATCAAGTATCATCTTGAGCATAGCCTTTGGTCCAAGACATGTTCTTATAACATCGGCAACAACCTGGTGAGGAACCTCAGGAATGTTTCAGTCACAGGTTAGGGGGTTGCTCACCTTTCCAGCTTGGATATTCGATGTCTGTGCTTTGCGTCCCGATTGCCGTTCGGGCGCAGTATCTAACAAGCCAGACACGCGTATGGATAATTTTTCTCCCAAATTCCCGGAAAACACGCACTCATAACAAAGACCGGCGTTTGGGCGTTCATCGTGAACTATTCTGCGACGATATTTTGGGTTTGAACGAAATCGCCTTTTCTGATACTGAGGCAGTGTTCGCAATCGCGTGACTTGGTCTGACTTGGTCGGAGGACGTTCTGCTTGCATCAACTGCACGGCGTCTGCACCTGGCCGCCATCTTTTCCTGTCCGGACACTGTGCAGCCAAGTGTACCTTCGCCCCTCACGCGCTCTGTGTTTCTTCCACTAGAAGCCTACTTCATATTCCTCGGCGTGTAATGGACAAATGTACTACATACTGTAAATGTACTCGCATCTCGGGCTACCATGAACTTCGATCTGCGATGATGCGCCTTTGGCACATCTACTATGCAGGTTTCGCAGATGATTTCCTCGTCTAGGGGATTCTGTGTTTAATTCGCTGCGCAATCGACATACGTCCTCACACACCAAACCCCAACAGTCATCCTCCTATCACTAGTGACACATCTCCTTAGTCACCGACCGTCATCTGAATAGCAAGCTTTGTCATGGCCTGTGGACGTGAGGGATGTTCGATTGCCGTCATGTCCTATGGTTACATTGTGCTGGCCAGGTATGTGGGCTAAAATGCAGCGGGTGCTTTGCAAACTTCCCGATCATGTTTGCCATTACCAGCCGGCTTTCGATGATCACTCGCTTAATGAAATAGCTGTGTCCATAGGTGACCCTCACGACTGCGATCATGTTGGAGTGGGGCGGGTATTCTCCCTGTGTGACTTCGTAGATGATGGATTAATTAGGTAGCCGGGCAATCCTTGGTCTAGATTATGTCACTAAAAGGTAGAAGAGCCAGAACGATTGTGGAGCATGCTCGATTAGTGTACAAGATGATTAGATGCAATGTCTAGATCCTATCAATAAGGATATTGTTGCCATGTGGTGAGAAGCGATGATACACCATGCCATGCCCTGGCAGTCTTGTTCTTAGTCGTCTCCAATTGTCAATGCCTCCAAATCAAGTAGGAGTAACTTGTAATCCGGGTCCCCCGCCGGCGCACCATCTGCAAGAGTTTGATCCACCCCACTCTGGAGTTTTAGCATAGCTTTGTATTCGCTAAAACTGAACTGTGGTCGTTCTCTCACAGTGTCCAGCATAGCCTAAATTTTGTGACAGTCAGGAAACGACCACCGAAAAGCGCTGGACGCACCGAAGGGCCAAGGAAAAATAATGAATAAAATCTACGAGCCCTTTCGAACCCTGTGTTGACGTCCTGAGACATAGCTTCGATGGAACGAAGACCCTGATGTAGTGCCACTATATTCCTCAGCATCTTCCGAACACCTTCTGCGTTTGCTAGGCGGATGGATCGAACTTCAGTGATAAGGATGTGTTCCATAAGTGACCCCAGGCCTTCGAACACAAAACTGGTGCACACTCGTGAGTCTGATCACTCTAGCGTTCCAGAACAGCTGGCACGTACCGACGCTCACGATCGGGTAATGTGGCAACAAGACAGTTGTCATATGCAGTTATTTCCTCATTCAACTCATCAATGAATGGGTCAGGTTCCGACGCTTCTTGGTCGATTTGATAGGATGACTGGCAGACTGTCAGATTATTGATTACAGGGTTAGGACATCACATACTCTGCGAATCCCGCTTTGCAGATGAAAATAAGTGCGACACCGTAAATCGATTCTGACTGAGTATAAAATGTGCTCTGATAATCGATCATAGATCGTCAGCAGAGCATCGAAGCGCCTGCGAAGAGCAACATGTTAGCAATTTTCAGGTGGGGGAAGGAGCTGATGCATACAAAAGCATGGCACGCGTCAATGGGAGTCGCAACTCTGTACTGTCTTGGCGTGGAGCAGACAAGTGATCGGAGAAAAGATAAGAGTCCGACGTTATTGGGGTTGACGTTGGTCTCGGAGTTTCAACCGCAGAGACAGGACTGTTGGGTTCTTCGGCAATCTGACGAAGGCGTATAAATTGTATCATGAGCCATAACTACCGGAGATCATTGATCAAGCTGATTCCGTTATTTGCAAAAGGAAACATACTAATGATTGATATAAGTTAGCCAAACTTGTTACATTTCTGATGGGACCAAGATTATCTTTTCTCTGGATGGGGGATATCTCTAGTAGAGCGCCCTCGTGAATGGTTTCTTTTGAACAGGCCTCATCCCGTGAGGCTTGTGCTCCGGCCTGCATCATCATCAGTGTTGTGCGGTCATGGTGAATTATTCAAACTCACGGTAAAAAGGACGTTTAACAATGACACCATCTCCGGTTTCTGTGCCCAGGCGGCTGGTCTTAAATATGCGAATTTATCCTGTTCGATATCTTCTCTGGATGGCTTTGTAAATAACTGCAATCGATCATTACATCGTTGATAGTACTGATCAACCACTATTAAAATTAGACGAGCGTAGTGTTCTTGGTGGAAGGGGGCATGTTGCATCATCGTGCACAATGAATTGACAAGGGCGATGAGATGCACGCTCGACTGAGTTGGTCATGATTGAGCAAGGGTGATGGTAGAGTAAACTAAGAGGACCTTACTTTGACCAGTGGGTGGGATGAAAGTGATGTCCAACCAATATCCTCATGAAACGCGTCGAGACCGCTGAATGACTCTCGTGAGAGCGAGATGACGCGTTCTTCTAGTTGCGGCAAGTAAATATTTAGTACGAAGTCGTTAAGTATAGACTGCGCCTCAGAGAGCATGAGGGGCGCTCCGGTATGTGTGAGGACGGATGAGATGGAATCAAGCCACATAAGAGTTGGTCGGAATAAAGCGGTAACATGAAATGCGTGGGGTCGAATCAGAAGGCGATGCTCGCTTGTTCCTGAGAAGCGATCATCGGCTGCAAGAGCCGAGACCGATGTTGAAGCAATTTCGGTAGAGCCTGTCACTAAACCAGGAACCATCTCTTTAAGGACTTTTGACAGTTCATCGTCGTGCTTCCGAAGAGCACGACCTGACGCCTTAAAGTCGGTGTCGGCGAACTTAAACACACTCTGTCAAAAGCGGATTAGCCAGCGTGGCTCATCAGGTAACACGCATCACCGTACTAGAGGCTTCTCGCGACCTTGGCCACTCAGCACGACATTGATTGAAGCGATCGGGTTACGGCTCGAGACGGACAGGTTATCCTCGTCTCGAAGATAGAGCTTAATCAGCTGGCTGATCTATGGCGAGGAATTAGCCGCAGCGGATTCAAGGTCCAACTTTCATTGTACCTCAGTCTGAACCGGACTCCACACGTCTGCCAAAGGAATTAATGAGCCAAACTGGATCCCCGAAGAATCTTTAAAGTCTCGTCTCTGTGCACAATGAGCCCGGGCACCATTCGAATTCAGGCGACTTACACTGCTAATGCGGTTGGAAACCTCGTAGGTCACACGGAATCCCTGAAGTACGGCATTCAGCTTGGAGAACAGTGTCCAAAAGAGATCCCTAAGAGTTTCAAGATCAGATTCCTTCGAAGTAGCTTCTAGCACGATCAACCGGAGCGACGAGGAAGCGTCATGTGCAGAGCGAGGTGTGTCAGCGAAGGTGTATGCGGCAGTTCTAACAGCAGTAGATACTGTTGGGCTGCGGAAGCGAGACAACCCGATACCACGGAGAAAGTCCGAACGCTCGTGGACCTCTTCGATAGTTTTTTCCACCAAATGGAACAATTCGGCTGGCAGACGTTGAACAACCGTATCCAGCACACTAACTAGCTTCCCAAGGACCGCAAGTGCTTCTAAAAGTGACTCAATGAAAGTGAATGAATCATATTCAGGATTCTCGTCGTCAGGAGACGTGAGTGGCTTTGACGGCAACATTGGGAGCGAATCGCTTGCTTGTGATGCCACAGCATTATAGAGGGAGGACCCGAGAGTCCTTTCACGAAGACTCGAAACTGTGAGATCACTGGGGTCTTCCAGATTCATTGGTGACTCGTTGGAAGTACGCAACGATAAATGCTTGAGGTAGCGGTCCATCCGTGGATGGTGGGAGGTTACCGGGTCGGAAACGATAGAACGCCCAATATCATCTAACTGGTCAAACTCCACGGAAGGGACTATAAAATTGTGAGGCGGCACCCATCCGAAGGTTGTCATTTATCGACTGTTTAGCACTCACAGGTGTCTTGATTGGGGGTATATGCAGACCAGCGTCTATCGCACCAGAATGCTTTTAAATATAGGTGGCTTTGTAGTTCCTCCAGTAATATATCGCGTAAACCCTATCGCGGCCGTGTTAGTTCATGAAAACGGTTTGAAAAGTTATACCAACAGTCTCTTGAGAAGTCAAATAGCTTCTTAAATCAGATACCGCTCCAATTTCCAGCATATCAGGCCTGTTGATCATTTTCAGACTTTTGACGAGTAAAATAGCGGCTTGAAGCAGCCTCTTTTCAGATATCAATGACTCCAAAAGATCAGGGACGGCCTTGAGCTTCTCGCTGAAAGAGTAAGATTAGACGAGTATGGGATAGGGCTGATGCTATAGCCTACATCTGATCTAGCAAGCGCATCATCTCCTCAAGGGCCTGACCCCTTGACCACAGCTGCGCGAGATCAGCTCGTTTGCTGCCCAGAGCATCGCGTGACTCAATCAGGTTAGTGCGAGCCTGTGATGTATCTTCTTGCGTTTTTGAAAGAGAAGTGAAAACATTCGCATGGTGGGGCAATGACTGAGCAAACGCCTTGTAGTGCTCTATATCTGGTTAACAGGGTCGTGAGAAAGTATCCGTTGTTGTTTACTTACTGTCAATGGACCCCTTCAAAGCGCGCTCGAGAGAGAATTTTGAATCAATGAAAGATTGGAAATCGCGACCTGCAGAGGATGTATCTAAAAGAGAGAGGGCCAATGTGACAGGATTAAACTGAGAAACAATCAGCGTTACGCTGAGACTAAAAGAGGACACATTTTACATCCTCAGAGAGAATATCCTCCCATTCATCTTTGACATCGTTAAGAACAACTACATCCCCAGTCAGAATTGTACCTGCAAGCCGAGCAAAAATATTCATACCATCAATATCTCCTGTTCCTTTCCCCGCCGCTCGTCGGGTTTTCTCCTTAAGCCGGTCTCTCCTTTCCTTATCTATTCTTCTTTCTCGTTCCCTATCACTCGTGAACCCTTCCAATGTGTTTTGCCGCCTTGCGTTTCCCGCTCTCTGAAACGCTTGAATCACCGAAGCCAATGCTCTGGGTGACTGAGACTCCCCAAGTTCCTGGAGACCATTATTGTCCATCCCACCATACGGATCAGATGTGTCCGTCCCTCGACTTCCTACAGTGTCCGAACGATTCCGCGGAGGGCGTGGCGGCCGCCCGTCTAAGCGCGCCGAAGGGCTGTCCCGCCCTCCATAAGAATACCCATTGGAAATATTGGAGATGGAACCCTCTCGTGAGCGAGGTAGCGGAGCAGATGAGGGGGGTTGCTGAGGCTGCAATCTACTAATCGGAGGTGCTTGCCGTGGCCGTCGATCTGAACGTGCAGGTCGGACAAAGGTCTGTGGTGGCGGTGAAGAAGTAGAATCTTGGCTCTGGGTGCGACCTCGACTCCTATTTATAGCTAGCGGAGGAGTAACTGGGATAGATTGATGGATAGAATCATTTTCCTGTATGGCTGGTGAACGTGGTCGACGCGACGCTGTCGGAAACTGACTGCGAGACATCAAACCAGCAGAAGTTGTAGCGCCAAAAAAATTTATGCAGTCCTGGCGTGACGGAATCGGTAATTGGTATATGACACGCGAAGAGCTGTGGAATCGTCGTTGCGGGCTGGAATTATGTTAATTTAATCGGAGCCTGCCGTGTTCAGCCGCGTCGTGGAAACCCACCCGCAATCTCAAACCGGGTGCCACAGCTCAAACTCATCGAAGTGACCAAACGACGACGAGCAGTGCGCGCCGTTTGATGACGGCTGTGCTCTCTCCTCTTCTCAAACCAGGTATCCAAATTGTGCTGGACAAAGCGGACATGAATGATGCCCTGTGAGCAATTGTGCGCCTTGACCCTTCATAGGGCCACCGGGAATATCTTGCTAATATGGATTCAATTTTTTCGGCCATATTCTCATTTAGCGCCGACGAAGACTGGAAGACGAAATATGAGGAGGTAATGGAAACCCTTCAGGAGACTGAGCAGGAGTTGCAAGACTTTCAAGTTAGCAGCAGGGAGCTTGAAGAAGAACTTGCCAAAGAACTTGAGCTCGCTGAGAAGGCGAAAGAGGACATGCAACGCAAGTTTGACAAGGCAGAGAACGAAAAGGATGAATGGAAGGTGCGTCCCGATGGTCATGCGCTGCAGCGTCACGCCGGCCGACGTGCATCCTCCTGTAGAGCAAGTTTATGTCCCTACAGTCCACCCACACCACTACCGTCAATTCGCTCCAGCGCGAACTTGAGGCGCTTCGAGAGAGCAACCACCTCGTAAAGATTCAGCTGCGGGAGCTGGAGATGGGCAACGACGATCTAGAGCACCATGAAAGGCAAGCGTGTGTGCACCGTCATCCTTTCCGGGGCCCTGATCTGTCTATTGTTATGCTAGAGCTGTGATTTCTTCGCTCGAGGATCTGGAACAAAAATATTCCAAGCTGTTGGAGGAGAAAATCCTTTTGGAGCACGAGCTTCAAGACAAAGCTGCGTTAGAAGAGGGCATTCAACGTGTGAAGGACGAGCTTAGAGGTTAGTTTTCGATGTCTTTTCCCTCGCTATTCGCATGGCCGACGACGACTCTGAAGACGCACAAACGGAAATTTCGGTACTACAAGAGAAGCTTGAGAAGGCACCACCGATGGAAAGTCCACTATCCGACCGCTTGGGCCCTGATTTCAACCCACCGATCCCTTCACCTGAGAGTCTTCTCCAGGCTCCTTTGCCCTCTGACGAACTCAGGCTCACTGATTTAGCGAATGCTCAGCCTCCTACACCTCCTGTGGAGTCTGATTTAGAATTAGAGATAATAACTGGACAATCTGCCCTCCTCAGGAAAGCCGGTTTCGTATCTCCACCTCCTGGAAAATCAAAGAATCCTTCTTCCCCTTCTGCTTCCCCCTCACGACTTCCTGGCCCTACCCAGCGACGACCACTCACGACTAGTATTTCTGCACCAAATAATGCCGGTATGACCTCTTCAATAATACGACCAACGACGCAACGCTCGGTGTCAGTCAGCACGACCACCTCCGCCCTAGCAGCTCGCTCACGCGGAATGCAAATGGTCAGCGATATGCGGTCCCGGGTGAAGACCCTTGAACAAAGAATTCAGAACCGTGTGCCACGCCTGAGAAAACTGAGCACACGTGCCTCCCCCCTCCCAGTCTCCAAGGAGCCTCGGTCATCCAGCGAGAAGGAAAAGGATGGAAGTGACCCTGGCTGGGTATTCGTGAAGGATAACCCTCGTGTGGAATCCCGTTCGTCCACTTCGTCCAAAGAGCGCGTGGCAAGCCCTCCGCCTCCGTCAGCATTCAGAGTGGGTGGGTTGGCCGGCTCGGGGCTACGTCCGCCGTCCCGAGCAGGAAACAGACCAAAATCGGTAACGCCAATGACTTCTCAACTTTATGTTGGGGACCCTGGACTTAGCCGCTCGTCTTCCTCGAATCCGAACATTCGACCGAAAAGCAATCTATCGCCGTTCCCAACTAATAACAACGACGCAATGATTAGGCCTGTCACTCCCACGATGATTCCAGTCCCGGGCGGTTCTGATGCACTGAAGCGATCCGTGTACGGCCACCGTTCGTCTTTAGGCACTTTGGCCTCGTTACAGCCGCAGCCTTCTGGTGCGAACGCCGCCACCATACCGGCAAATACACAATCTACCACTGTTCGGGCGAAGTCCACATCAGGATCGATGCCATCACGTCCACCTTTGCCATCTATGCTTCCTTCGCCACGAAAGAGTCCGCCTACGAGAGCTACGAATACAACAAATGTTACGGCGGGACGTTCATCAATAGAAGACCATCAAGATCCGTTGCAGCGACCCGGATCCCACCTGGGGATGAGTTCCCGGACTGCGCTTTCCAGCAGCAAAATCGGACGACCCTCTTCACTTACGGCTAGTGCTACGACCGGGCGGTCATCCTCAGATACGAGACAGAGAAATTACCACCCACAATAAGCGTGTGTGAGAAACGTTTCTTGTTGGACGTTTGTGACTCTCCTCTTCAAGTTTGTGTTGTTGATATGTAACTTTTCGGTTCTTGAGACATTAAGTAAATTTCCACTCATTTTTTTCCCATTGCTGAATAGACTTGAATATTGTAATACAACAAGTGATCGACTAATTTATGTTGAAATTTATGTTGATTGATGGATTTCGTAGTTGAGCTAGGAACCGGATATGTGGCTAAATGAGGAAGTCCCCATTTGTAACCGCGCGCACTCCGATTGCCATGACAGGACAATATCAGCCCAGCCTACAAAAAGCCAGGATGAGACGCACCTGTCGGGCAGCCGGTTGTCCCTTGCACTCTTCGGAGGCTGGGCCCATCTCACTTTCCTTTTCTTCCTTTTGCATCATCCATGCTCGCTCTCAACACCGTCGTCGACGGTGGGAGATTCCACATCCTCGACATCCTAGGAAAGGGTGGCAGCGGTGTCGCTTATCTTGCTTTCGATTTGCATCGCTCAACATCTAATACTGCCAAGTACTACGCCATCAAGTGTCTTCTTCGCAAAAGTGACCAGTCGGACCTCCTGCGTGAAGTCCAACTCCACAAATGCGTGTCCAAACATGAAAATATTGTGACATTGCGTCGATGTGTTCCAGAGGGTCAGTTCCAGATCCTTATCATGGACTACTGCGCAGATGGGGATCTTTTTCGGCTCATTATCCAGCAGCGTAAGCATCTATCCTCTAGCTCTGTCAGTGTCCCTAAGACCCGCAATCCCTGATTATTCCCAACCCCCCCTCCTTTCACTAGACCGATATTTTGGAAACGACGAACTTATAAAAGATGTATTTCTCCAAATCATCGACGCTGTCGCCTATTGTCATTCCCGAGGCATCTATCATCGCGATCTCAAGCCAGAGAATATCCTCTGTAGCCATGATGGAACCAAAGTGTACCTGACTGATTTTGGCCTCGCAACTCAGGAGCCCATTAGTCATGACGTGGGCATTGGAAGTGGATATTATATGAGTCCCGGTAAGTAAATTTCATTGCTTGCCATAGCAATGAGCTAACGGTTCGGATCAACACCAATAACAACTCATGCTTCCCATCCTGACGGTGTCACCCTTATACCTGGTGTGGTTCGCATCTCTACGGGGCTGCCGGGTTGCACTCTTCTGCTTTCTTCGTCAACAATCAGAATGCAACGCCGGTCCGAAATATGACTCAGCGATGAACGACGTTTGGTCACTGGGAGTAATCCTCATGAATCTTTGTTACGGTCGCAACCCTTGGGCGCGCGCGGATCTCTTAGATGAGACCTTCCGTGCATTTCTCAGTGATCCGAACTACCTCGCGTCTATTCTTCCTATCCCTCCTGCAGTGAACAGCATCCTAAAAGGCCTATTTGCTCTGAATCCAGGATGTCGAATGACTTTAGATCAGCTGCGCACTGCAATCCTGAAAGTGGATCACTTTATCATGAGTCCCGATGAGCTAAGGCTCGCGAAGCCTGAGGCTAGGAGGGTTGCCGCAACGATACAGGAATTAATTTCTGCACGAACGTTGAATCGTCGAGAGACTGTCCCTCGAGATGTAGAAGCTCCCAACACTGCTCCCGTTCAAACATCTCATGCCTCTATTGATGCGGTCGTCACACTTTCGGAAAGCATAGTTACACGGCGTGCTCTCAAACCCGTGGTTCCTATCGTTGTCGCACGCCCATCTACCTCTCCAACATCGCGGGCCACCGATGATTCCTCGTCTTCCCTGAGCTCCAATCCTGAAACCCCCCCACCTTCCACTCCAAACTCAAATGTATCGCGTCCCCCTTTTCGCTTGGGTGCACTTTGGACCAAATCGTCGTCTGCCCTCAACCGTATCAAAGTACCTCTGGACTCATCCCGCTTGTCACCCCTCAAAAACAGCGCCAACCTCACCGCATCCGTTCCTCGGCCGAAGGAACAACATCCGCCCTCGTCGCCCTATTCGAGCCAGCACTCCAGGAGCAGAAAAGGCGGTATCGCAGCCCTTACTTTAAATCCCCTCCGATCATCACGCTCACAGCAAACACTTCGGCGGGAGCACACCCCTTGGGTTAGAGAAAGAACTCCTTCTCTTCCTGGAAGTGTGCATACTGGAATATCAATTGATCCGGATACCTTCACATTGATGCCCAATACCCCATCCATTATGTCTTCTGCTGAGCTCGCTACTCGTACTCATGGTCATCCTTTATCTTCCCAAAATAACCCCACCGCGGCTGCTACACCCTCCTTTGGCTCCAAAAATAATCTCTGCAGCTACGGCAGTACTATCATCTCGGACGAAGGGCGGCTCATCTCGCCGAGAGTGCGAACAATGGAGCAAGCGAATGGAGCAAGCTTGCACTCGCTGAATGTCTATCTCCATGAACTTGAGCCAAGCGCCGGGTCGTTTGTATTGTATGACAGAGATGGGGAAGCTGTTGAGAGCTTCGAAGCGCTCGAGTCCAGCTCGCCAGGGACCGTAACTTGGAAGACAGCCCGGATTCATGCTGAGCAATTGATCGCTCAGGGGGACACCATGAGGGAGCGGGAGAATGACCCGAAGCCGAGATTGGTGTTTCCGAGCGGAACCGGGGCCGATGGTGGTTATTTATCTGCGAGGAGATTAGTGCCAGCCGCAAGGTTTGCTTGGTTTCATAAGGATCGCCCGGTGGCTTGATATTTTGTTTTGCTCGATGCACACGTACTCGCATCATGATTCGTCCCATCATCGGTAGCCTTTGTAAGTGCAATTACTTCCACACAAAAAGTGCCTGTTTTCGTTTCTTATTTTTTTTATCGGATGCACTTGATTCCTTTCCTTCACATCTTTCCCACATTGTTTTTGGGTATGCGATATTCACCCATCATTCGTTCTTATATGTAATTCAGCGACGAACATGATGATGGTGTATTATTATAGTTGCAGTTGCTCCTTATTTTTTGTTAATATGTACTTGTTTCAGAGTGATAATGGGTCGCCATGAGTGGAATGTTAACCACGGGCGATTGTCATGTCGGATGGATCCGGCAACTTGGAAAATTCACCGCGCTTCTCCCCTTCACGGTTCGGGTTCGTACTGTCATTGACCATCCTAAGCCTTTGAAATAGTTTGTTGTTGGGTCTTCCACGGTTTGCATCGTCCCGATAGCTTCTGCTGTGCTTCCCCAACGCTGTTGGACTCTTGTGGTTAGTCAAATACATTCGCACCCGTCATATCCCGACTGGAACCTTCAGCAGTCATGTACCGACTCTCAAGCGTAAGCCGCTCCTGCTACCTGTGGCCACCATCAGTGCTCATGCTTACATCCTGGCCCCCTACTCTTGCGTCGATGGCGGCCGATTACCCGGACATTCTTTCCCACCATTCATGTCCCGTTCAAATCCGATGGGGTACTCGTCAATACTCGCGCCATCCTGCATCTACCGATCCTATCATCTCATTTGTGTTCCAAACTCTTGAATACCCGAACAATCCTGTCTCTTTATATCTGTTCGCTTCGTCCAACTCCGCAATTTTCCCATTCTTGGTCTTGAGACTTTCTTAGCGCAAGGCAGTTTTTTTTCGAAAGGCTCGCCACTTACCGCCATCTCAGCGAGCCTTCTCGCGCGCGATTCGGCTGATGGTGAGTTCACACTCTACGAATCACACAATAGCGTTTGGGTTTTCGTTCTTTTCGGCGTTCGCCTATTCCTGTCCGCCTGATCCCACAAGGCAGACGTTGCATCCATCTGGATAATATGACTTGGATATGCGATCAATCGTTCATCTCGCCAAGGCTCAGCTTCACCCGTGACCCGAAAAGTCTTTGCCATGCGAACGAAGCACTCATTCAGGATTTTGGACACCAGTTTGAAAACTGTCATGGGCTCCTCAGATTCGGGGAGTGTGCCAAGAGACATTGGGGGAAACTTCTACTGTTCATGTATTCGAGCTTAATAAAAGGGTGCAGCACCAGATTACTTGGTCTCCTGGTCACTCCACATCTTCACATGACCTTCATTACCTCTGCCTTGGGTTTAATCCCATCAAACCTCTGCCATCATTATTACTGAATGTCTGACAAACGTTGATTCTTATTTTTCTTCTTTTTAAGTCGGAATTCCGAATCGAACGTGATACTTTTGGGGAGCTCAATGTTCCTGCCAGACGATATTGGGGCGCCCAAACCCAGCGGTAAGTGGAACATCGTCACCTTCGCAATTGATTGCTAACCGAGGGCTCAAATCAACCAACTCACTGAACCCTTGAAATACGTATTTGATTCTCCCCGCATCACGCAACACCTTATCACTAGCTCGCTGCAGAACTTTGACATCGGTGGAGAGACTGAACGATTACCTCCTCCGTTGATCAAAGCGTTCGGCGTTTTAAAGAAAGCAGCGGCCCGAGTGAACATCACATATGGCCTTGACCCTAGAGTTGGAGCTGCCATTGATCAAGCTGCGGATGATGTGAGTTTGTTTCGCCTTACATGATCTGTTTAGCGTTGAATTATTTGATAGGTTATCTCGGGGAAACTCATAGACGAGTTCCCACTTGTTGTATTCCAGACGGGGAGTGGAACACAGAGTAATATGAACGTAAATGAGGTTATCTCGAACAGAGCTATTGAGATTCTCGGCGGCGAGCTGGGATCCAAAAAACCCGTTCATCCCAATGACCATGTTAATATGAGCCAGAGCAGCAATGATACGTGAGTTCTCTCCGCTGATATTCTTCTCTGGATAATCTCATTTTTCAATATAACATGCAATCAGGTTCCCCACTGCCATGCACGTCGCGGCCGTGACTGAGATTGAAAAAAATCTTATTCCAGCCATTGGTGAACTTCGTGATGCCCTCGATGCCAAATCAAGAGGGTTCGAGCATATCATCAAAATTGGTCGCACTCATTTACAGGACGCGACGCCCTTGACACTCGGTCAAGAGTTCAGCGGATATGTACAGCAGTTATCGAATGGCATCGAGCGTATTCGTGGTACTCTTCCAAGACTCAGGAAGCTTGCACAAGGTGGAACCGCGGTTGGAACGGTGGGTCTCATTCCTAAACCAAGTACCGCGAGATCGACCCCATATCTATAACGGCAGGGCCTGAATACTATAGCTGGATTCGATACCAAGGTTGCTGCTGAGATCTCGAGAATTACTGGCCTCCAATTCGAGACGGCTCCGAACAAGGTGAATCTATCCCTTAAGCTGAATGCGTGGACTCTGAGATAACCGTACACATCAAGTTCGAAGCCCTGGCATCTCATGACGCCCTTGTTGAAGCCCATGGGGCTCTCAATGTCGTTGCTGTTTCGCTCATGAAGATTACAAACGATATTCGCTACCTTGGCTCAGGTCCACGCTGTGGTCTCGGCGAATTAGCCCTTCCTGAAAACGAACCCGGCTCGTCCATCATGCCGGGCAAGGTTAACCCTACACAATGCGAGGCTATGACGATGGTTGCGGCTCAGGTCATGGGAAACAACACTACTGTCTCCATTGCTGGTAGTAACGGCCAATTCGAGGTCAGCCCCGCAGCCACAGATAAACTTCGTATGGAAGCAACTAATTTCTTTGCAGCTAAACGTTTTTAAACCCGTGATCATCAAGAATGTCCTGCAATCTATCCGCCTGTTGTCTGATGGTACAGTATCGTCCTTCATGTTTCCTGTGACAAATGCTAACGGGCGGATTCCGCTAAGCCTCTCGTTCATTTACGAAGAATTGTGTTGTCGGAATCAAAGCTAACGAGAAGCGAATTAATCAACTATTGAATGAATCGCTCATGCTCGCCACAGTCCTCAACAGCCACCTAGGTTACGACAGTGCGTAACACAGCTCCATATTCCACTCTTGAGGTCGTTAATCGTATCATTTCTCTCGGACAAGATGTTGCCAAGTGTGCAAAGAAAGCCCACAAGGAGGGAACGACACTGAAGGAGGCTACTGTTACCCTCGGTTTTTTGACACCACAGGAATTTGACGCCAAAGTCCGACCGGAGTTCATGCTGCATCCTGATCCCGCTCCCCAGTGACGGTCCTCATACCAGTGTCGCCTCCATCCCATCGTACTTTGCTTTGCTTCGATTTGGAGGGCTGTATAACCATGGGATTGATACGATCTAATGTAACATATGTACGTCGAAGATTCAATCGTGATCTAGGCCTCTGCCAGGAAGGGACAATCATTCAGGACATTAGCACTGATCCTGCGTAGAACTCGGACAGGCGAGAGTTGCCGAGTTTGAAACAACGCGAAGTAGAAAGATGAACTGACTGAATACAATCATCATCATTGGCTTCCCCCACCTCGATCGGCCACCCGCGTATCTATGTTCTGACAGGGCTGGATGGCTTTTCAACTATAATTGCACTGTCAATGCAAATGCCCCATACGACGATCAGGAACACTGATGGTTGTGCGAACGTTCTATGATTTTGATTCCTAGGGGCTCGGCAGTACAACTCGGACAAGTCCATTTCATACCTTCCCAGACGGCGTGGCCGGCCATCATGCGGGAATGGCAAATCCATCCGCACACCAGACTCCAGCTGGGTGCCGCTCACCCACACCAGCCCTCAGATTTTCATGTGCTGCGATTCCGACACAGTGTTGCAGCAAATGGATTCGAAGATCGCCTCATGGCCAGAATCCTAATAGTAAACCATCACAACTTACCGGCCGCATCTACTTATGTTTCCTTAGTGACCATTCACCGAGGCTCCCAGCGACCCCGATCATCAATCACATATTCGGTTCGGGGAAAATCCGCGGTATATGATGGGTGAAATGTGTTGCATAAATAAACCCAACAAACAGATGGGTTCGAATGATGAATAAACCCTAGAATTTGGGGGTGGCGGCCCAGCGCGAATTCCATTGAACGGCCAACAACTAATGGGAGTCGATGACAGCTTGCGAAGTCATTGTATCATTACAGTGACCTGGTAACGTTGATAGGACAGTTTGAGCGCGCCAATGGCGTACCATTGCCCTGCCGCGGCGGCCACGGTGACACTGTTTCGCCGGCGGCTGTCAGCCTAGTGGTCGCGAACATTACAAGTCATTGTGATCTACACTACAGGCCGTACGGCCGTTGTCGACTCTGAGGGTCTGAGGGGTGAGACGTTAGATTTTTACCAAGAACACCGGACAGCCTCAAATTTACATAACCCAAGCAAATAACTGGGCGGAGAGTAGACCGCACAACTCCATTGCCGGGCGAACCACCCCAGCCATTCGAATGCCTCGAGATTATATATGGTCAAGGAGTGCATCACTTCGTGGACACCGCCTCGATGCCATCACCAGACCATTTATTGTGACAGAATGGCGACATAATCCGATCGGCGATGAAGTGTTGGCTCCCGCTGCAGTAGTCTAGGTGAATAACAGCGGATTTATACCAGGCTACTTTTGTTATGAGGGTTTCCCTCAAACAAACGTGAGATGTCCATTTCTCACGGGTGGCAAGTGAATAAATTGGATTTTGGATGAGTGGTCGAATGGAGGTGGGATTCTGTCACCACGTTGGCTGAGCGTTTCTCGAAGTAACCCAAGGGGAAACGACCCCAATGTTCACTTGTGAAGGGGTATTAATTCCGTCGTGGTTGCTCCATATGCCACAAAAGACTTTGATTCTTCGTTGGCGATGAACTAGCATGCCAATGCTGATCGCGTCGACCCCAAATAGTGGATGTGAGTACGAAAAATGCCTCCGCTTCCGAGATGAGTGCGGCCTAAACAACTGTGCAATAGCCTACATATTACGCCACCCGCATATTCCTAGCTCCTAGGAGAGCAAAACTAGATGGGCAGAAAACGCTCGCGAATCAGCTTCACTGGTGGCTGCATCACACCTTTCTCGGACAAAAATCCCTGGGCTCGAGAATTGATGTGAACATGATTAATTTATTCGCGATTTATGATCAAAGGCTCGCAGCAGCAGCGTGCACTGCCTCCAGCTGAACGATTATGTGATTATATGCTACCGAACCGTGATCCGCCCTTTCGCAAGCAACCTCCCCACAAACCCATTGTGGGCGCCGCTTCTCGGCACACCAGAGGAACCTCCACGAGCCCAAGGCCGAGGCCAAGTACCTGCAAGCGTACCGCCCTCTTTGTCCTTGGTGATACTGGAATTCGTAGAGCTGACGTCTCGGTAGTAACTGTTGCCGAGGTTGTCCAAATATTTGAAGGATTCGGTTGTGGTGCCGTTGGCGATAACTACGTCGTTGGTTTTGAGCCATGTGCCGGCTGAAAAAAAGGGTAGAAGTAGCAGGTAAGTCCAGTGCGTGCGTCATACGAACGGGCACTGAGGGAACAACGCACATCCGTATTGACGTGTGGTGATGTAGCTCCCATCGATGAAGGGGCTAGGAAGCTCGTTACGATCATACGAGTGATCCACGCTAGCATACCCTAGAAAAGCCAACCGCGTCTTAATGGTGAACGAACTAAGGGGCGATGATATGACAGTAACCTACATCCGGTGGTATTTCTGAAGCTAATATCGTAATAGATAACATCAAGAGGATAAGTGAACTTGTCCAACACGGCTGGAACGCCATTGTGCATCGAGAGTGAATGACCGAAAGCGGTCTGATGAAGGATCTAATCGAAAAGGGGCATCAGAACTACACGCTCCCTCATATAATTTGGACCTACCTGGTAACTGCCATTCTGAGTGAACGATTGGAAATTTTTGTATGACAAGTCTTGAGACCACTTCACAAGTGTTGTCTTTCCGCTTCCGGTCGTAATCTCACTTACAATATTGAGTTTATGGATAGCGGTGACAGTTATATTCACATCGTTATAACCATTTTGTGGTGTGACGGTTCCAGAGGTATCAGAAGACGCGTAAAATGGAGCGGAATAATGTAGAATTTTCCCCTTAGTGGGCTTTAACGTAGAGTCTTGGATGATTTGGATGTTGCCTGAGATGAGTGCATCGTTGAGGGATGGACTCGACAATTGGTTCACAAAAGAACGTACCAGATAAATACCAGTTACCAAGGATGTTGTGTTTCGTTTCGGCAGAAGCAACGTCAAGAGTGATGATGTGTTCCTTTCCGTCCGCAATTACGGGGACAAACGGAGTCAGGTCTACCTTGTATGTCGGCTGATCAAGCGATCCATACGCAGAGATGGGTCTGGGTTCATAGCATGACATAAATGCTCAGACACGCGGACAACTCTGCGACGCAAACAGGCGCACATACCTCCACAAACTAGGTAGGATTCCGCCTGTGAAGATGACAGGATACGGGAATGCCACCCCTGCTAACTGCCCATCAACGAGAACCCTGACTTCCCGGAAGGGTCCAGTTTGATACGTAGTGTTGGGAGGAATGTACCCGAAGTATTCATCAGCAGCATTCAAGTACTTTTGAGATTGCGGATCAGAGTGATGCATGACGGATCGAATAGGGATGCTATGGTTTACCCAAAACTCTTCTTGTGCATTTCCCGAGGCGTAGATTTCAGCATAGGCTTCAGCGATATTCGTAGGGAAAAAGACGGTCATCTGGCCGAAACCATATAAGGTCGAGAATGAACACGCATAATACCCCTCTTCTCACGTTATAAGATGGAGGGACTGAGAAGTAGTTTGGTTGGTCGGGTGACAAGTTTGACAATGGGATGATAAGGTCCGACGACCTCGCCGCAGGGTAGGAATGAGTGGCCTCGTGGAACGTTGCACTGAGAGTGACTGGGAGAAAAAAAAAAAAACAAGTATTGAACAGGGGCCGGTGACCCTGAAAATCGTGTGCTCAAACCGTCATATTCGCCAGTGAGTCTTAGCTTTGGATCAATAATGTTATTAAGGTCTAGAATCATGCGTCCAGGTTGGGCAAAGAGAGGCATATAGCGAGAAACGTCTTTAAGAACGGTCCAAATAATACCAGTCTTCGTCGGCTCAGCAGTAGACGTGCGCCAGACTGTGCACACGATATTAGAGGATTGAGAGGAAAGTCGCGCGCATTCTCACTTTCCACTTGGCTGAATGTGACGGCAGCCAGTCTATCATATTGGGTCTGGATCAAGTTGAGCAAGAAATCCGAAACCTGAGCTTGTTGAACGTACACCATTCGATGTTCCAGTCAAGTTCATTGAGATACCAGCCCATTTCCCTACTGGACCGCAATTGGATGGAGGCTAGAAAAGGGGGGTTTGTCGAATGTCAATACGAGCGAATCAGGGACACGGGAGGAGACTGACGATGTAGTCAATTATGGCAGCTGGGAGGCAAGAGCAAAGAAACGCGAGGAGAACGCATCAGGTCATGGTGGTGCCATTGGGGAGTGATTAGTTGACTTGCGTTGGTAATACGAGTTCCCGAACAGGTGATGTGTGAGAACAACAGTACATTTCACATCATACGGCAACGCAGGAGGTTGTTGAACTTGGAAATTCACCAATGGTGGAACAGACGCATTGGCCGCCCTCGCCAGGATGCCTTCGCCGGACCCATGAAGGGGGAATGAACCAAAACGCAGGACGTTGTGAAATATGGGTTTGATGACCATTTGAAAATGCGCTTGGAGGGCAGAAAGTAAAACCAAGGGAGAGAAGAATTGCGGTGGGCGTATTTTATACGACTGGCGCCAATATCGATTGCCTGTGATGAGAAAGAAGCAAGACAAATTATTGAGACCGCGGGGTACTGGTGAAAGTACGCGTTTCTGAAAAAGATTGGGCACAAACCACAATGATGACGTGAAATAAGATCGAGTAATCACAACTCCCTAGTCGTCAGTGAACGTTGGTATTAGAAAGACCGAGCTGCAGGATGCAGAACAGCGGTAGATATAATAATAAAATGAGTGTACACGTTCAGGGCGGCCCATGTGGTTCAGTTGGAAGAACGTCCGAGCTTTCAAATTTCTCACGGTTGACAACCATGCAGGGCAAGAGTTGCTATGACTTTACACGGATTTATTGCTCGAGTCAGCTGGGCAGTTAAGCCTCCATTGGAGGGTTCAACCTTACGTGCTCCGAGCAGGGTCCCGGGTTTCTATATTCTTTACAATTCACCAGATGTAGTTCCTGCTGTATTCATCGAGAGAAGCTTCGGCATGGAACTGCAATATTGCAATCAAACAGGTACTGTCATGGCTGATTATGAGACCTTCCGAAACCATCTTCAGTACTATGGATGGGCCTGGCTGGTTCAGTGCTGACAGAAAGAGGGAATTGAATACATATTCAAGCATAGAAATCCGGACCCGATCAATACAATGCGTGTCAAAGGGAGGTATATTACAACTTATGTAATCATTCTAAGGACGCTATCTGGGAAATCCGCTAGTGGTCGCCAACAAGTCCAAAATTTACTACGTGGACAAGTTTTCATTGTGCAATAATGAAGAATATCTGCTGATTATGGGTGGCGTTCTGAAAGATCATACGTCACCGACCGAGTCAAAAATTTACTCATGAAGTTCTCACGGCTCGGACCGTTCCTTTGCAAAACTCCGAATCTCACATGAGCATCTTTAGAGTGGTAGCTCGCGCAGGGGCAGCAAGGCGAGTGCCCCTGGTTCGCAAAACGCCTCTAACGTCTTTTCGCCCTTCCGTCTCATGGAGATGGTACTCCACTGAGGAGAGACCCATAAATTCAGAAAACAACCAGGCTCCACCAGTGGGAGAGGCTTCGCAGCAGCAAGAATCTCCAGAATCACTCTCCGAGACTGAGGAACAAAAATTAGTAAAAGGAAAAGACTCTGAAATATTAGACCTGACGGTGCGTCTCCGTCCTGCTTGTGCGTTGCACATTGCTCATCATGAATACCAGAGCCGTCTTCGTTATATGGCCGCAGACTTCCAAAACCTCCAGCACAGATCAGAGCGCGAAAAGGCTCAAGCAAAAGAATTCGCCATCACCCGATTCGCCAAAGATCTCCTCGACACCCTTGATGTCCTTTCCCTCGCTCTCAAATCAGTTCCTCCCGAATCTCGTCATAACTCTGAAGAAAACCCACGGCTGGTTGAACTATATAAAGGCGTGGAACTCACAGAAAAACAACTTCTTCACACGCTAGCACAGCATGGCGTAAAACCGTACAACCCGCTAGGCGAGCCTTTCGACGCCAATAGGCACGAAGCATTGTACAGTGCCCCTGCCCCAGAAGGAAAAGCAGCAGGCGTCGTTATTGATGTTCAGAAAATTGGGTATACTATCGGTGTTCGAACATTACGGGCTCCTCAAGTTGGGGTTTCATCTGACTCATCGCCACATGCTAGCTAATATTTGTGAACATTTACATATGTGGTGGCAATATTATATTACACTGTAGTTGATTCCTCTCAACATCGATCATACTTTGCATCTACATTTTGCTCAATGACATTAGCATTTTTTTGTGTATCATCGGAGTTCAACCTGGAAACGCTCGACAAGAGCATTGGAGACCTGAGCCTGGATTTTGTTCACTTCCTCGTTTGAAAGTGATCTAAAGCCGAGTTTAGCCTAGGACCAGGGGGGGGGTTGCTGGGCTTACCTATCCATGGATCGGTAGTTGATCCGAAAACAAACGCTCGTCTGTTCAGTTTTTGGGTGGACAAACTCGTCAATCTAGTCGGCCCTCTAAGCGAAGTGTAATGGAGGGCTCGAGTGACAACTCACTTTCTTTACGTCTTCTACTAAATTTCTAGCCACATCCCGCACAACGTCACAAAAGTCGTTATCATGCACGATTTTATGCTTTGGTGCCCCAAAAACTAACGTCCTTGTAACAGGGCGGATACTTGGAGTATGGCTTGAAGGTTGTAATTTCCCCTGGTGTGAACTGACTAAGAAAGCGCGGATCGTTCGACCAGAATAAGCGTATATCAGGAATGGAGAAGAGAACCATTGCAAGTCGTTCAAGACCGAGTCCGAAAGCCCACCCGATACGGTCAGGTAACCCTAGAAACTGTTTGGACGTATCAAATGTAAAGCCCCTGGGAATACATACCCGAAAAGTCTAATGTACGCTGCTTCATAACGCCACACCCTAGGATCTCCAGCCATTTTCCCTGAAAGAAGACCTCGACTTCGTAACTGGGACTCGTGAAAGGAAATATGCCTCAATCCATCTCACTCTTAGAGGCTCTGAGTTCCCGTCTCGCCTGGTAGAGAACAAATTATAGATCATTCTATTGAGAGAGTGTTTCATATTCCCGACGACGAGCTCCGCATGTTTTGGCTGGTGGCCTTCTTGATATGGGTTGGTGGGACCAACCTTTGTGTTGTCCACGATGATGATGTTAGACGAGGCCAGCTGTTTCCCGAGCCTTTCGTTCTCCTCCTGTAAAGCATCCATCGATGCTTCATCCGTCGCGAAGTGTTGAGCGCCGTCCATTTGATGGAAAACAGGGCTGTGACTGGAGTCGATCTCGTCCCGCCGATAAACATCAGCTGTGAGAAGCCACATATCGTGGCCTTGCTTAAATATTTCAATCTCGTGAGCAGAGGCGTGCGTTCGTAGCACGGTTTCCTTATTGATATAATAAGTATCTGTGACACTGCGTCCAGGGTGGTCTGGCGGAAAGCCGAGCTCATCGAAATTTTGGTGCGTGGAAACGACGGGAGATGGTACATTCAAGCAAGAGAAGCCGGAGAAACTGGATTCAATGAGCGAACGCATTATTCCTAATGGGTGATGTGGTTTGAGGTACAGTTGCATGGGATTTTTTCAACAATTGCGGGAGTAACATTGGTCCAGCTATCCACAGGATATTCTTGCCCCCTATTGTCACGGAAGTGCTGGCTATATCAAAGTCAGGCATTTGCAGCAAGACTCTGAAAGTTAGAACTCACGTTGCCCTGCGATGCAAGCGCTCGGCGTCAGAATACGTTTGTCACCATCTTGATAATTTGATCACCTACCCCTTTTCAACGTGGATAATGATGGAGCAG